GTTGACCCCTGAACAATGTGGGATTGGGGGTCCCAACCCTGCCGTGCAGTCAAAAACCTGCATAGAGCTTTTGACTGCCCCAAAACATAACTACTAATAGCCTATTATTGACCAGAAGCCTTACCAACAACATTAACAGTTGATTAACACATATTTTATGTTATTTGCATGATATACTGTTTTCTTACAATAAAGTAAGCTACAGAAAAGAAAATATTAAGAAAATCATAAGGAAAATACATTTACAGTACTGTACTATATTGGAAAAAATCCATGTATAAGCAGACCCATGCAGTTCACACCTGTGTTATTCAAGGGTCAGCTATACTTGATATCTCCCTGGCTTCAAGAACTTAGAAAATTCATCTGCATGGAGAAAAAAAAGCTCCATTTTTAATAATCACTGGCAGGGCCATAATTAGGTCAGGGTGACTAGAATTCTGTCACAGGACACCCAAATTTAGAAAGCACAAGTTTAAGAGGGAAAAAAAACTGTTTACAGCAGTGTAAAATTTCAAGCATCTTAGCAAATTTCCACACCAATTCTCCAGTCACAAGACTACAAGCCTGACCCCAGAGACAAGCCAGCCTCCCTGGTAGTCAGCAGAAATAGATAGTGCTGGAAAGCCAAGGTCAAGGGCAGAGACTTCTCTGACTTACGTACTGAAAGCTTGGGAGTAGGGTTGTCTCCTCCTCTCCACTTGCCTCATCCTCTCCCTGGCACACGGTGGATTGAAACTGCTAAAATTGCTGGTCATGTTTAGTTATAGTTACTACACACTTTGCTGGGGGCTTGATCTAAGTTTCAGGTGTCTTGTAGCTGTTTCTTGATGCGTGCTCACTAAAAGTCAGAGTCTGAGAGTCAGCCTCTACCCTGGGAAGATGAAGAAATAAAAAGCACAGTACTGCTCTCAGTCCTTACTCCTCCCCATATTTTCCCTCAGGTTCTCACAAAAGTCTTTACAGCTCTTGATCTCTGGAACTCTAAACAGAGCAGATATTATTACCTGGTTCTGGTGGGAAAATTTTCATAGGAATAAGAATTCCCTAAAGTTTTTGGCGGACTGTGACCTTTTAGGTCTCACCTAACAAGGATTTGTCGGTTAAAAATTTCACAAAGTCAACATTTTTAAATATAAAAATTAAAATTACAGATGGCTGATTTTTCAAACAAAGAAATGGAAAGCTATCTATAATAAAATTACAAAACTATGATAGTAGGTAACAAGAAGAAACGTCATTGATATTTTTTTTCTATTTGGAATAGTCTATAACACTTCTGTAGAGCTTCTGACTGAGAATATTTTTGTCAAATTCAGAATCCTGGGATTTCTTCCATTATTTTCCATGTAGATTGTTAAACTGTGTTGCCCATTGCTCCAGGTATAAGTTATATGTATCCTAAAGAAAGTTTGTAGCCAAGAGAAGGTCATGAGACATCAAAAACTCCAATAGGTATTGTCTGAACATCTGCCTTTTGAGGTCATTTGTATCATTTTGGAATACTACCTTGTTAAAATAACAGTGAACTATATGGAAGCAAAATCCCAGGGGCACTCCTTAACTTCATGTGTTAGTTGCAGTTCAGATGCACAATGTTATATAAACTGTTGGTCAAATACTCTATATAAAGCATATGTATCCACTGTCCTCTTCCATATAAAAATATTTCATATAAAAATCACTTTTCTATCTTGGAGAATGACTTAATCCTTCACCCATCTTAATTTTGCTAACGTGTGATTAAAATTAAATGGAGGTCACCCTTACTCATGATCCTTAGCATCAGTGTAATTCTCAAACTGGAGCTGATAAAAGTTAAAAACTCGTATCAGGTACCCATTTTCAGTCTCTTCACCCCCTCTCTTGCCCCCATGGAGCAACCTAGTTTTCGTCAATAAAAAGCAATTTAAAGATTAGAGAGGTTGACTCCCTCTTTTGGCAGATGTGTTGAAAGTGATGAAATATTTTCTTACTGACTGTGTCTACTATAACCTGAATATCTTCTAAGCTAACCTTAAGGGTCAGCAGTATTAAAATGTCATTGACCAAATTTGGCAAAGTATGAGGTCCAATTCTGAAGTTCTCAGTTTCAGATAAAATAATAGGTGCTTAGAATTCAACTTCTTAATAGTAATAGAGTATTCCAGACTTTCTGCAAGATAATTCTGGAGAGATCCTCACTTAGGGACACATGTATTTCAAGAAGGACAGATATGTATAGCCTATGCTATAATGCCCCTATACACACACACACACACACACACACACACACACACACACACATATTTCTAAGTTTAGATACATCTATCTAACCACAAGAAAGGGAATATGGATGGCATACCTATGCATTGTCAGTATAAAATAATGCCAACTGCAATCTGCTCTAAGAAAACATTCTCGTTCAATGGTAGTCATACTTTGAATGATGTGAGCATGTATATGTATCCTTAAGTGAAGAAAAGTTGGGGCAGTCAAAGTATTCTTTTGGTCTAATCCAGCATTTTCAACATTGACACTATTAATGTTCTAGAATGAGTAATTTTTGCTGTGGGGGGCTGACCTCTGCACTGTAGAATGTTTAGTGGGATCCCTGGCCTCTGTCCAGTAGATGCCAGTAGCACCTTCTAAATCATGACAATCAAAAATGTTTCTAGACCTTGCCAAATGTCACCAGATAGGGGAGGGGAATTACCCCAGTTGAGAAGTACTGGTCTAAATAAACATTATCATCTCAGGCCATTTCTGTTTGCCTTTCCAAAGCCACAAATGTATATACTAAAAATTGCACACTATATTATATAAATCTATCCCAGAAATCATAACAAGATGTGAAATTTCCAAATAGCGGTTTCAGTGGAACTGTGACGTATGGGTTTTAGGGAGCTCATTAATTACATTTTAACAATTTCATCAGTTAAAGTACTAATTCGTGTGACATATATGTTTTTCATTAGCCCTTTTACCTTTGATGAAGTGTATAGGTACAAATGTATTCCTTTCTACGGTAATTATTAAATAATAATAGGTCTAAAGAGGAAATAGGTTTAGGGTTTCACATATAGTGCATATTTACTATAACTCACTCATAGTACAGTCTCATTACCTCTTTGCAGCAATATAGAATCAAAATAGGAAATCAGTTCTACAAGATATCAATACTCTCAAATTCTTAACTTTCCAAATATCAGTATAATCTGTGTTATGTCAACCAGTCATTTTTTAACAGCTGATTTCTATAATAACCTCAATATTTACTCTTATTTAGAAATTGTCTATTCCAATGATGTTGAATTTTTCCAAGGGCTTCCTTGACTCAGTATCTTTTAAATTAACCCACCAAAAACTGTCACCTGTTTTAATTTATGTGGTATACTAAGTCTCTACCATTAAAAATGAAGCAGAACTTTTTGGCATAGTTTGCTTACATTCTGGTGACATTTAAAAGAATGAAAAGAGTGATTTCTAGTGTCTCCCTTTAGATTAAGGCATTCCAAAGCACAAAGACAACGAGAGGCCTCTTTTATCTTCCTCTTACACGTAAACACATTTGGCTGCTTGTAATCTGTCAGTAGAGTTTGTTTGCAGTGTGAAAGCTGATGTAAAAAGCTTTCGGAGTAGCCTTACCTGCTACTACCAGGGGAATCAACATCTACAAATTCACATCCCTTTACTTGTATGAATCATGCCTTGTGTCACCACCCTCAACACAAGGTCCATTCATGAGATGTTAGGGAGAGTCCGAATGAGTAAAACAATTCTGCTCATTTGGGGTAAGCATTTGGGGGTGATGCTGGTGTGAGCACTATGAGAAGCAGCAGTAAGCCGGCCTGTCTTTTATCAAGGTGAGGTGGGTAGTTCATAATATACATTTGTAGCTCTTTGACAATGGTACAGATTTTGCCATACTAGGTCATGTGGGTTCAGCTTTCCTACTTGTATGGGAATGAGCTTTGTTTACCTGTGTGTATGTCTGTGTGTGTACATAAATATATGCATGTTTTGTTTGCATGTATCTTAGAGTGAATAATATACAATGGTAGATAGAAAAGGGATGTGCCCTCCAGTCTGTTTCCAGACTAAACCTTACATCATTGTGCTTTACTTCATCTCTGAGCATTAAATTAGGAAGACGATTATGCCAATTTGCAAATAAATAATGCACTCATATTTGCAGCCTTTTTGCACTGAAATAACATAATAATACAAATAGGCTTAAATAATGCAGGCCTAAAATGGAGTTTATGCCCTCAATTCTGAGGAGAGAAAATATCTCACATTATCCAGACTATGAACCAACACAGTCTAAATTCTACAATGCTTCATTCACATTGTCTAAGTAGATTTGACAAAAGGAGAGGAAGCAATTCTTATTTAACATTTTTTAAATGGAAGGAGACTAAAGTTAACATAGACTTGGTTCAACAAATCACAATAATTAGCTGTAGTGTTTCGTATCTTTATTACTCAGTAAGGTTTTTTTTTTTAATCTACCTCATCACCCACTCACTGCCCCTCAATAGGGCAAAAATAAATATTAATTTTTTAAAAACCTATGTTCTATAATATACGATAGGTTTTTTTTAATCCAGATTGTGTTGATAATCAGTAACACTTTGCCCTGGCATTTCCTTTACTCTACCTTGATTAATTGCTCAGCCTCAGCAGCTAGAGTTCTGTTTTGTTTGTGAACTGCACCTTCTAGATCAGAACCATGTAAATGTGTTTCACCAACATTACTCCATACTCCATCAGCGTGTTACTAGTTGCAAATCCACAATCTGCTACAAAATATTTCATAGGATGTTTCATTTCTTGTTTGTCTTCCAAGCCATCATCAAAGTAGAGTTTCTCTTGGGGGTTTGTAGTTGTTTTGTTTTGTTTTGTTTTTCCAAGTGGCCCATGTGAATCCATGAAACGACTTGACCATTTCCTTTTGGAGTCATGTAAAAAAATCTAACAAAAATACCCTGGCTCAGTTCTTTCTTTTCCCATGGTCCCTAGGAAGTGGGCTGGAGTGGAGTGTCTTCACATGGGTCTAGCTGCATTCTCAGTGCACCAATTTTATGAAGATACCAGAGCTGGAGAAATTCTTCTGGCATGGCATGGAAGCCAGAAAAGGGCAAGACATTATCATAGTAGTGGTGGCTGATGGGCTGTTCATGCATATTCACAGAGAAGGGCCAGAAACCATAGATGGCTACCTCTTCACAGAGGCCCAGAGCTGCACTCACCAAAAAAAGTCCTGTGGACAGGCGCTTGGCATGGATTCCCCTACTCTTCCAGAACTTTCCAATGCTACGCAGAAAGTTGGGGTTGGCAAAGAGCACTGTTTGATTGGCACCAACATCTGACAGTGTATAATAAACCCGGAGGGATGGCTCTGTTCCTGTTTTCATAGAAAAAGCAGGCATGTAGATGTAACTGTGGTTATAGATTTTCATGTTGTCCACAAATGTCTTCCTGGACCACAGCAGATTCTGAAACCTATTAAAGAGAAGAAGTCAATTAAACCTGAAGAAAAGGAACTCATCAAAACCCACTCTATTCTTCTGATGGCCCTGATAGTTCACATTATCTCGGCAGGAGGGAGGCAGAGGACATGAAAACGATGAAAAATGCTTCACTTGTATTTAAAATCCTCCTTGATCTGGGTGCCTGGGTGGCTTAATCGGTTAACCATCTGACTTCAGCTCAGGTCATGATCTCACAGTTCGAGCTCCAGGTTGGGCTCTGTGCTGACAGTGTGGATGGAGCTTGGAGCCTGCTTTGAATTCTGTGTCCCCCCCTCTATCTGCCCTTCCCCCACTCACATTCTGTCTCTCTCTCTCTCTCTCTCTCTCAAAAATAAATAAAAAATTTTAAAAAATTAAAATCTTCCTTCATCTTACCAATTATCTCTCATCAAGTTGCTTGGCTTCTGCCAAACCTAACATCTTAAATTCTGATTAAGATTCCTTACGAGAATTCCCTCTGAACTAAAATGCACTGTATATTTTGTTCTCCCAGAATTTTTTGCCTGGAATGTAAAAATGGTTTAATACTCATAAATTCACAAAGGGTTTTGGTTATTGGATAGGATTTGGATAAAAACTACTTGTCCAATCTGATATAAGCACAGGACTGGTTTCCTCATCTGCAAATCAAAAGAACCACCTTGAAGATACTTCTTCCCATTGAAACTCTATGATAGTAGAAGTATTCAGATTAACTGAAATATTATAACTATAATTTTACACTGAAAAAAAGACTCGTTACTACTATCAAATGATGCTGACAGAGTTGACCACATTGCTTGCTCCAAAGAACTCTTTTTCCCTATGTTCTTTCAGTTTGGGTTCAATAAAGAGAGGACCTCTGGTTCAAGTGCATTCAACTAAAATTGATGGTATACATCCTATGGGTCAGGTACTGGGGAGTTGAAAATTTAATGACCCAATTTTTGTTCTCAAAAAATTCAAGTCCAATTTCAGGAACAAAAATATAAATGAGTGCAACATAATGTGCTAAATGGAACAGTTGATATTTGTATAAAGTACTGTGGAATACAGATGAAAAAATAATTAATTCTGCCGTGGGAGAGGAGTGGAGCCTGAGAAAGCTACAGACAGGGGATGACACTGAGTCCCACACCTCCTGTGGGGAACAACATGAAGAATAGCAACTAAACTAGAAGAAACACTTTGGTCACAGGCAAGGGTAAAAGTGTACTGACACAATAATGAGGATTCTGTTTCCCTGGAAGGTGGGAGATGGGAATGGTAGAGGTAGTGTTGAAGATAAGACATGTTGCAAAAAACCTCATGTGTCTCTAATTTGTTTGGACTTCATTCTGCAGCGATGGGGAGACTTTACAGCAGTGAGTACTCACAGCACTTACTATTTGCATTACAAACATTTCATCATTTGTGTAGTTGTCAGTCTGTGTTAAAAAAGGTAACTCTGGTGATCTGGGTAAGGAAGAGGCTGGTGACTTGGAGACCAGTTAGGAGGCTGTTGACATAGATCAAGTATAAAAAGAGAAAAAAGACAATGAACTACACTAGGGTCTTGCCACTTTTGTTTTCTTTCACACAGGGCAGTCACCCATCTCACGTTATGTGCAGGTGGAGCAGAAGCATCTAAGAATAGAATGGAACCATAACATGTTAGCAGGCTTCATCATAAACACGTGAAATTAAAATTCTGAGTAAATAAGTCCACAGGATTTTATGTGCAATCAGTGTCATTAACTCTGCCTGCCAAGAAAGGAGTATTCCTTAAGCAATTTTCCCAAAGGAAGAAAATTGCCCAAGTTTTCCTCATGTCCTTGATTCAGCAGCCTGTTTTAGCAAATTTGTCTAGGCCCTGACAAACAGAAAAGAGGTAACAGGGTTTGTAAGTGGAATCACTCTATCCTAGAAGAAACCATGGAAGCACATTTAAACATATTCTGGAGCTGGACCAGCCTGACCAACACAAATTCCTCCCTCCCAACTCTACTAAGTTGTGCTTAGTAATTCTGATGAGAGTGACCCAGGATGCTCACTCCCTGGTGATTCTGATGCAGGTGTCCTGTGGATAGACTTAGACCAAAGCCATCCGGGTAAGCTGTCTGGCTCTCTGCATCTATCTTCAACATGTCTTTCTTTACATCTTCTAATTTTATCCTTATTGCAATTCTAACAGGGAGAAGAGCTCCCTCTTCCTTTCTGTGTCTTGGGACAAACCGTTTCATACTTTCTAAAGAACTCATGTTCTAAAGTGGATCTCCCCTCTTTAAAATATTTAATCTTTCTGTCTCCACTGAATTATTCCCTTCTATCTTCTAAACATGCTTAGAACTTAGTATGAGACACTTCACCATATGCTTGTACTGGTTCCCAAGCTAGATTCTAGATTTTCATTTCACCATATCAACATTCTAGAGCAATTAGTCTACTTCTATCGGTTCCCTTTCTTGCTTCCATTTCCTCCTTATTGCTGTGCAGAATGGGTCCTATTCCACATCACTCTGCTGGCTAATAGAACTTATCCCTATCTTTGTAGTGGACTACACACTAATGAGAATTACAGACAGCTCCAATAAAATCAGGGAAATTGATTTTGTGTTCCCTGCCTTAAAGCTGACTGATTATTCTTGAAGAGGGCAGTCTTCCTTGAGTTTTAACTTTGAAAAAGAACACACATCTTGAATTTACTATAGGCTTAATTTTTTGTCAATGTTAAAGAACCAGCCTACATGTACCATTTTATTATTTTTACCTGCCCCATTCTTCCACAAATGACATTATCTAAGAACTTAATTCAACTCAATACTTATTTATGGTACACCTAATATATTTAATGCTATCCTGATCAAGAGCTTAATAAGGGTGGCTTGAATTTTACTAACATTAAAAAATGCAACTAGAATTATAAAGAGTAGTGCTCCAGCTTATCTTTCCAGCCTCATACTCAGATTCTCTCTATACCCTCACCCTATGCTCCAGCCATCCTTGTACGTGCACCTGTCCTCGTTTTTTACAATGACAGTTTCCTTTTGGCTCATCCATTCATTGCCTTGGTGAAGTTCTTCTTAAGCATCAAAACTCAGACTTCTCCTTCTAAAAATTATTCATTCCTTCCTTCCAGGTTAAGCTTTCAAAGGAGTCTTCTTGGAACTTCTAGTATGGACTGATTCTACCCTCCAAGACTGTGTCCTCCTTGAAGACAAGTGAAAATCCTAATTCATCTTTTGATTTTTACAACTTAGCTCACAAAGTTGTGTACTATATAAATGGAAAACTGTTAAATTGAAAAAAAGAAGAAAATGAAGTGAGATTGGCCAATGAATTATTAAAAATAGAAATGATTAAATATATAATGAATATGGGCATGAAATAGAAAAATGTATCAACAAAAATACAGCATTTTATAAATAAATTTAATACATGATAATAAAGCAAAAATCACTGAAATTTTTTTTTTTAATTTTTTTTTTCAACGTTTATTTATTTTTGGGACAGAGAGAGACAGAGCATGAACGGGGGAGGGGCAGAGAGAGAGGGAGACACAGAATCGGAAACAGGCTCCAGGCTCTGAGCCATCAGCCCAGAGCCCGACGCGGGGCTCGAACTCACGGACCGCGAGATCGTGACCTGGCTGAAGTCGGACGCCAACCGACTGCGCCACCCAGGCGCCCCAAAAATCACTGAAATTTTAAGCAATTAATATCAACTAACTACTTAACAATTTGAAATTTTAAGGGGGAATAGATTCATATTTGACAAGAAAATTCAAGATAAGTAAGATAAACATTTAAAGTTTATTCACAACTGTGAATTTATCAGACATTTGCAAAATATCTTTCTACAAAGGAAAATATTGACAAAATTGATTATGTCAAGATGTGAAATTTCATCACCATGAAAATAAGATAACTAAAATAAAAAGGGAATGATGACACTGGGGCACTTGGGTGGCTCAGTCAGTTAGCATCTGACCCTTGATTTCAGCTCAGGTCATGATCTCGTGGTTTGTGAGATCAAGCCCCACATCAGGCTCTGTGCTGACAGCATGGAGCCTGCTTGGAATTTTCTCTCCCTCTCTCTCTCCCCCACCACCTCAAAAATAAATAAATAAACTTTAAAAAAGGGAATGACTCTGAAAAATATTTTCAACAAATAGAAATATAGAAGCTCAATACTGATACTACTATAGAGTCTGATGATATTGATATACTGACATGAAAATGGACAAAAGCATAGATAAGTAATCCAAAGGGAATTGCAGGTAATGAAAAGGGTTAAATTTTCAGCTTCAGTTTTAAACTGAACAGAATAAGGAAAGCTAAGGGTCCAGTTCTTGCCTCTTACAGCAAATCTCTAGACATGAAAGAAAATATATTTTTAAAGATCTGTATCCACCTTGAAAACAAAAAAGGAAACCTTCAATGAATCCCCAAATCTGAGTTACCTCTGAAAAACAAAGTGCTTATAGAAAGAAACCAGGGCATAAGCTAATTTGCTGAGCATTGCTCTAAAAGGTAGCAGTGCCCCATGCCTAAAGGCAGAAAATATGAGAAGTCGAGTGTCTTGGAAAAATCAACAAGGTTATTATTGAGATTATGCGCACTAGAACATTCAAGTAGATTGAACCCTAAAATCTTGCACTGGTCAATTATCACTGTGGGTAGCATGAAGAGAATATGAGCCTTTTGGGAGAAACAGTGACTCTGTGCCCAGAGCTGGCCCAGCCCAGGGGAAACTGAAGATTCTTTTCAACTCATACAATATTAGTAGTCAAGCTTATAGTTCCTAAGTAGAATATTGACACTGGTCCAAGAGAAAAGACATATAATGACATTTGGGCATCACCCAGAAGAAAACCACCTTGCTACCCTCTCAACCAAGGGTAAAGCCTACCTGTGATAGGTTCAGTCTCTGCATAGAGCTTCCAGTTGTTAAACAAGAACAGATAGCTAAGATCAGAAGATACTGAAGGAAAGACTCCACTATGAGAGAGAA